CTACCCTTTAATATGGTTTCTAATATCCAGGGTGGAGAGAGTGATATTACTCTCAATATCACAGGGGATGTACATCCCTGTGAGATATGGTTCCTAATATCCAGGAGGGAGGAAAATGATATTACTCTGAAAAGTGCAGGGAGTTTACACTCCCCCTGTGATATTCTTAATATTCAGCGGGGGAGAGGATGATATTACTCCCAGTATTGCAGGGGGTGTCCACCCCCTACCCCATCCTATTTTTTTCTAATATCGAGAGTGGGAGTCAATGATATTTCTCTCGGTATCACAGGAGATGTACACCTCCCTGTGATATTGATCCTACTATTCAGGAGGGGAGATGATGAATGTTACTTTCAATATCGCACTGAGGGTACAAACCCCCTATGGTGTTGCTCCTAACATCTAGAGAGGAAGAGGATGATATTACTCCCAGTGTCGCAGTGGGTGTACACCACCCCTGAAATATTTTTCCTAATATAGAGTGCAGAGAGGGCGATATTACTCCCAATATCACAGGGGGTGAACAGCTTTTTGGGGATATTTTTCCTAATATCCAGGGGTGGAGTTGATGATATTACTCCCAATATCACAGGGGGTGTACACCCCTCTTGTGATATTGTTCCTGATATCCATGGTGGGAGAGGATGCTGTTACTTCCAATATTGAAGAAAGTGTCTACCACCTTGTGATATTGTTCCTAATATCCAAATGGGGAGAGGATGTTACTCCCTGTATCGTAGGGCGTTACACCGCCCTGTGATAGTGTTCCTAATATCCAGGAGGGAGAGTATATTACTCTCAATATCGCAAGGGGCGTACACTCCCCTTTGATATTCTTCGTAATATCCAGGGGTGAAGAGAATGATATAAATGCCGATATTACAGGGAGTGGTCACCTTCCTGTGATAGTGTTTGACATATCCAAGCGGGGAGAGGATGCAGTTACTCCCGACATCGCCGGGAGTAATTAAGTATCACCCCCTTGTGATATTCTTTGTAATATTCAGGGGAAGAGAAGATAATATTACTCCCAATATTGCTTTGCATATTCATTTCCCAGTGATATTGCTCATGATATTTACGGAGGGAGATGATGACATTACTCTTAACATCGAAGGAGTGTACACCCCCCCTGTGATATCGTTCATAATATTCAGGTGGGAGAGGATGAAATTTCTCCCAGTATCGCAGCGGGTCTACATCCCCTCCGTGATATTGTTCATAATATCCAGTCGGGGGGGGAAGATATTACTCCCAATATCGCAGGAGGTGTCCACCCCCCCCGTTATGGTTTTTGAAATATCCGGGGGGGGTGTTCAATGATGTTATTCTCAATATAGCAGCAGGTATACATCCCCCTGTAATATTGTTCATAATGTCAAGGGAGAAAGAGGATGATATTCCCCCTAATATAGGAGGGCGTGTGCATGCTCCTGTGCTACTGTTGGTAATATCCAGTGGGAGAGGATGGTATTACTGCAAATATCTCAGGAGGTGTACACCCCCCTGTGTTATAGGTCATAATATCCAGTCGTGGGGAGGACGATACTACCCCCCAATACTGCAGGGGGTGTATAGCCCCCTGTGATACTGTTCATAATATTCAGGGGGTAGAGGATGATATTACTCCGAATACCACAGGGGGTGTACAGCCACCCCCCCTGTGATATTGTTCACAATATCCAGGGGAGGGGAGAGGATGATATCAATTTCAATGTCGTATACACCCTGTGTGTACACCACCCTGTAATATTGTCCATAATATCCAGGGTGGGAGAAAATGATATTAATCCCAATAGCACAGGGAATGTACACTCCCCTGTGATATTGTTTGTAATATCGATGGGGAAGAAGATGATACTACTTCCAGTATTGCAGTGGGTATACACCCCCATGTGGTAATGTTAGTAATATCTAGGAGGGGAGAGGATATTACTCTCAATACACAGGGGGTGTACACACCCTGCTTTGATATTGTTCATAATATCCAGGGGGAAAGAGGATAATATTGCTATCACAGGGGTGAACACCCTCTGTAATATTGCTTGTAATACCAAGGCAGGGGGAAAGGATAATATGAAGCCCAGTAATACCAAGGGTGTACACCCTCCTGTGATATTGTCTGTAATATCCATAAAGGGAGAGGATGATATTACTCCCAAGATCGCAGGGGGTGTCCACTCCCTTTTATATTGTTCTTACAAACAGTATAAAATCCAGTGGGGAGTGGAAATTAGGAAGAATATGCCCTGAAAATTACAAAGAATATCACAGGGGGTGTACACCTTCTGGTAATTGGACGTATTATCACCCTTTCCCAACCTGGGTATTAGGAACATATCAAGGGGGGTGCACAACCCCAGCGACATTGGTAGTAATATAATTCTCTCCCCCCAGATATTCCCAGCAATATCAGAAGAGGGTTTACACCATCTCGATATTGGGAGTAATAGCTTCCTCTCCCCCTTTTATTATTATGAACAATATCACAAGGGGGAAGTAGTATCATCCCCTCTCCTCCTCGATATTACGAACAATATCACAGGGAAGGGAACAAGCCCTGCTATATTGAGCGTAATGTCATCCTCACCCCTTCTGGGTATTGCAAAGCATATCACTGGGGGTGTTCACACAGTGTGTTTATGGTATCAGGATTAACATCATCCTTTCCACCCCTGGATATTATGAACAATATCACAGGGCCGTATGTATATACTCCCTACGACATTGGGAGTAATATCATCCTCTCTTCCCCTGGATACTATGAACAGTATTACAGGGGTGTGTACACCGCCTACGATATTGGGAGTAATATAATACTCCTCCCCCTTGAATACTGCAAAGAGTATGTCGCAGGGGCAGGTACACCCTGTGCAATATTGGGAGTCATATCACTCTCTTTCCCCTGGATATTATGAACAATGTCACAGTGGGCTGTATACCCCCTGCGCTATTGGGAGTAATGTCATCCTCTCTTCTCCTTAATATAATGAACAATATCACAGGGAGGCGTCCACTCCCTGGGATATTGGGAGTAATATAATCCTTTCCCCCTCTGGATATTTCAAAAAATATCACAGGGGGTGTATACCTCCTCCAATATTGGGAATGATAACATCCTCTTTCCCTGGAGATGACGAACAGCACCACAGCGGGGTGTGCACCCTTTGCGATACTGGAAGTCGTATCATCCTCTCCCCCACTGGAGACTATGAACAATATCACGGAGGAGTGTGCACCTTCTGCGATATGGGGAGTAGTGTCACCCTCTCCCTTCCCCTGGGCTTGACGAACAATAGCCCAGGGCTATGTACACACAGGGTGTTTATGACATCGGGAGTGAGATTATCCTCTCCCCCACCTGGATATTACGAATAGTATCACAGGAAGTGTACACCCCCTGTGATATTGGAAGTCATAGCATCCTTTCCCCTGCTGAATATTATGAACAATATAACATGGGATGTATACTTCCTGTGATATTTGGAGTAATATCATCCTCTCCCCCCCCTGAAAATTACAAACAATAATGTTGGGGGGTGTACACCCACTGCAATATTGAGAGTAATCTCATCCTCTTTCCTTCTGGATATGACGAACTATATCTCAGGGGAGTGTACACTCTGTGATATTTGGAGTAATCTCATCCTCTCCGCCTCTGGATATTAGGAACAATATCACAGGGCAGTGAACATCCCTTGTGATATTGGAGGTAACAGCATCCACTCCCCCTCCCCGGTATCATGTACCATATCGCAGGGGCATGTACACCCTGCGACAGTGGGAGTAATATTTTCTCCTCCCTTGGAAGTTACCAACAATATCACAGGGGAATGTACACTCCTGTGATATTGGGAGTAATAACCTCTCCCACTCTGAATATTAGGAATAATATCCTAGGGGAGTGTACACCTCCTGTTGTATTGGGAGTCATGTCATCGTCTCCCTCCCTAGATATTATGAACAATATCTTAGGGGGTGGTACACCACCTGCGATATTAAGAATAATAGCATCCTCTCCCCACACGGATATTACGAACAATATCACTGGGTTAGGTACGCCCCCTGCGATATTAGGAGTAATTTTATTCTCTCCCCCGCTGGCTATTACAAACAATATCACTGGAAGGCGTACATTCCTTGCGATATTGGCAGTTATATCATCTTTTCCCTCTTAAATATTATGAACAATATCACGGGGGGGGGTGTACACCACCTGTGATGTTGTGAGTAACATCATTCTCTCTCCCTCTGGAAATTATGAACAATACCACAGCAGGGTGCACACCCTCTGCGATATTGGCACAAATATCCTCTCCGTCTCTGGATATTACCAACAATATCACAGGGGATGTGTACACTCCCGGCGATATTGGGAGTAATATCATTCTTTCCCCCCCTGGATATTACGAGAAATATTACAAAGGGTGTACGCACAGGGTGTTTACGGTATCAGGAGTAATATCACCTTCCCCCTGTGACGTACACCCCCTGTGATATGGAGGCTAATGTCATCGTCTCCCTCCCTGCATATTAGGAACAATATCACAGGAGGGTGTGCACTGCCTGCGTTATGGGGAGTAATGTCATCCTCTATAATCTAAAATTTACGTCTCTTTCTCTAAGCTGAGAAGGTTCTATCATGTCAGCGTCTATGTCATGAAGAAAAGGAGACTTAGGTGAGATGCTTTGATTGATCACAACTGCTGCATCAATTTCCTAGGACCTCAACAGCTTCATTCAAGTCTGGGAAATGCTGACGCATAAGGTTATTGCCTTAGCTGACTTAAAACTACCCCATGCAGTGGTACAAATCCACCCTTAGCGAAGCTTTTAAAAAACAAACGGGTTGAGAAAACAAACAGCTTTTAAAAAACAAACAGGTTATACAGCATCTGCCTTTAGAGTTATCAACTCAGGAATTCTCTCAATTATCAAATCTTGCAGAGAAGTTATATTTCTTTCTCAAAATCCAGGTGATGACGATATTCCTTACTCTAGTTCTGGCATTTTTCATCCTCATTGTCTTGTGAATCTTCGTCTGCTGCATCTACGTCTGGTAAATCCACATGCTCCTCACCACACATGCTCATCATCTCGGAGACACGATCAAAATTAGCCCTGTCTTCACCTGAGTCATCTTTCCAATTGTTGAAGTCCACACAGCCAATCGAGCTTTGCCTTCTCTTTTGTTAACCTTGGCCATGACTGGCCAGAGTCTCCTCTTCCTACACAACATAAAATTGATCTGTCCGTTCTTTTATGCTTGGAATCATTTGGATCAATACAGTAAAAAGGATCAATTTTATTTAAATGCTTAAAACGATCCCTTCCTTCGAGACAACTGAATGTAAATTTGGATGTTTCAAAATTTACCTGAACATTCTTACTGTCTTCAACACACAGTGCAATAAAGACACAGTCTCTTCGATCGCACTCAGTTGCAGAAGCAGGCTGCTTCTGAACGGGGCAGGGGACCGGATAGCGGGTGGGCGGCCCCCAGCGGGGCGGCTGCTGGGGCGACCACTTCTCTCCGCTGGCGGTGGCGGTGGCGACTCCGCCTTTTCTCCCGGGTTGCGGCCTCTTCTCCCTCCCCTCAGGCGATGACGGCAGCTCAGCTGCTTTTTAAGATGCTTTTCTGCTTAGATCAGGGGAAATTGGCTGGATTAAATTAGCCACAGGAGGGCTCCGTTGCAGTTTCCGAAAAAAAATTTCTGCAGTCGCCGGCGCTTTGGGAGGCTGAGGCTGGCGGATCACCTGAGGTCAGGAGTTCGAGACCAGCTTGGCCAACATGGTGAAACCCCGTTTCTACTAAAAATACACAATTAGCTGGGCATGTTGGCGGGTGCCTGTGATCCTAGTGACTTGGGAGGCTGAGGCAGGAGAATTACTTGAACCCAGGTACAGGCTGGGCAACAAGAGTGAAACTCCATCTCAACAAAACAAAACAAAACAAAAAATATTCTGCAGTCATACTTTCTGGTACACAATTATGTCTCTGCAGTCTTCAGTGGGCCATGCCTATTTATAAAGGTGAAATAAGAAGCCAGGGTGGCCGGGTGCAGTGGCTCATGCCTCTAATTCCAGCGCTTCAGGAGGCCGAGGTGGGTGGATCACCTGAGGTCAGGAGTTCGAAACCATCCTGGCCAACATGCTGAAACCCTGTCTCAAAAAAAAAAATACAAAAATTAGCTGGGTGTTGTGGCATGCACTTGTGATCCCAGCTACTCGGGAGGCTGAGGCAAGAGGATCTCTTGAACCTGGGAGACAGAGATTGCAGTAAGCTGAGATTGTGCCACTGCACTCAAGCCTCAGCAACAAGAATGAAACTCCATCTCAAAAAAAAAAAAAAAAAAAAAAAAAAAAAAAAAAAAAAGAGAGAGAGAAAGAAAACACAGGGCACGTAACTCAGGTACCTCTTGGATGTCCATTAACGAAAATTCTAGAGAACTTTCTGGAAACCTAGAGTGTATTTCTGTGGGAAATAGCACAAAATTGAGACTTGAAATGGTAAGCTCTGATTTGTTCATTTTTAAAATCTTAGACACTTAAGCCAAAATTGTGCCACTGCACTCCAGCCTGGGTGACACAGTGAGACTCCATCTCAAAAATAAAACCAAAAACAAACCTACAAATCCTACTTTTTCATTAAGTCATCTTCAATACTCCCTATTGGAAGGGATAGTCTTCTTTGCTGATTTATTGTAGCATTTACTGTTCTTGTGAACAATAGGGCCCTTATTATACATGGTCTTGTGGTCTAATTGTGTACATCTTTTCTCATCTGAAAAACGGGGACATTTTTTGGATGGTAGGGAGTGTGTCTTCTTGCAGTATCTAGCACAGTATTCTGCATACAGCAGATATTCAATAAATGATTATTAAATCGAAAAGTCAGATGGATATTTTAATGAATTGGCTGAGACTAATTTTAAATGATGACATCATTGGAAGACTTTGTTATTTCAAAGTGACTGAGAGCTATGTGATTCATCTTAGTTTTCATCCAAACAGTAGAGGAAGAACCAGCCCAAAAGATGGATTCTAATGGCCAAGTGAGAAGACAAAGTTGTCTTCTCATTTCATCTCAGGAGTCCCACTGTTCATGTAATGGTTTCATGAAGTTGACTTAGTGTCTGTTGATCCTGGCCTGTTGGACAGCAGGCAGAGGTGGAAGTAGGGAGAGGAATAAAAACCATTCAAGGGAATCGGAGGTCATGAAAGGATTCCCGCCACTGCTGGAAAGGGGGATCCTGGTGTGTGGTCATCAGCTCACTCCCATCCAACTTTATTTATTTATTTTTTTTGACAGGGTCTTGCTCTGCTGCCCAGGCTGGAGTTCAGTGGCATGATCTTGGCTCACCACGACCTCTCCATCCCTTGGGTTCAAGCAATTCTCAGCCTTGGTTAGCTCAAGTAGCTGTGATTTCAGGTGCATGCCACCACATCCAGCTAATTTTTGTATTTTTGGTAGAGACGAGGTTTTGCTATGTTGGCCAGGCTGGTCTCGAATTCTTGGCCTCATGTGATCCACCTGCCTCAGCCTCCCAAAGTGCTGGGATTACAGGTATGAGCCTCCGAGCCCTGCCCCCATCCAGCTGTTTTGATTGCTGCACAGATGTAGACGCTTCTGCTGGTCATCATCATTTACTTCTCTTCCTCTGGCGTCCTCTCATCTCCCCCTGCAAAACTGCCAACCCGAGTTACTGCCCAATTTTCCTTCTAGGGCCCCACAGCACAAGCCGAGAGCAGGCACCGGGATTTACCAGGCTCTCAGCGGAGTTCTGATTCTTTCAGATCTCCGTTAGATCGCTTTTTTCAAAAGCAGGTTTTTATTGGCATGCATTTGTCAGTTGTGCTTCTGCACAAACCGAAGCTCTTTTATTCTGTGGGCTATTTTCGGAGAAGTCATCGCGCAGTATCTGTCACAGAATAAATTGTTCTTATAACTGGTTTGCTTACAGGTCATGCCTCCAGCTGGCAAGCCCTTGAGAGTTTACCATTTATAGAAGCTGCCCCTGAGATCCATTTGGATTGGTGCTTGGGAATTATTACATGAGAAATTATGAACTCACACTTGGGCAATCCTTGGGATTGTCTTAGGAAGAGAAAGATGCATTTTGATGGCTGGGGAAGATAGGAAGCAAAGTAGACTTGTTTTCTTTTTTTTTCTGTTCTTTTTTTTTGAGATGTAGTCTCGCTCTGTCACCCAGGCTGGAGGGCAGTGGCATGATCTCGGCTCGCTGCTACCTCCGCCTCCCAGGTTCAAGCGATTCTCCTGCCTCAGTCTCCTGAGTAGCTGCGATTACAGGTGCGCGCCTCCATGCAGGCTAATTTTTGTATTTTTAGTAGAGACGGGGGTTTCACCATCTTAGCCAGGCTGGTCTCGAACTCCTGACCTCAGGTGATCCACCTGCCTCGGCCTCCCAAAGTGCTGGGATTACAGGCAGGAGCCACTGCGTCCAGCCAGACTTGTTTCTATTTAATGCCCAGGGAGTCGAGGTAATCAAAAATCAGGTTTGGCTCTAGCATCATAATAGCAACTGGTCCCTTGGCCACATGCAGAAAATAAACTGGGATGTTTGTTTTGTTACCTGTCTGCCTTCCCCCTCGTCTGTGCCTTGCTGCCCCTCCCCACGGCTTCCCAGCAGTCCCCACGGTAGAGTCCTGCCACAGCCTGTACATTCTGCATAGTGGCCCTATTTGGGACTTTTCTGCCCTTCCATGATGACCAGTGCTAGGAGAGCAGCTAGGAAATCTGACATGTACATCAAGTGATGAGTGGCTGTTAATGGCTAAATGCATGATGTTTAGGGCTGGAGATAATTGATTTTAAAGTGTGTTGAGGTCGGGCACAGTGCCTTATACCTGCAATCCCAGCACTTTGGAAGGCTGAAAGTGGGAGAATACCCCAGGTCTTTGAGATCAACCTGAGCAACAAAGCAAGTTCCACCCCACCTATCCCCCCCTCGAATCTCTACCAAAATTTTAAAAATTAGCCTGTGTCTGTAGTCCCAGCTACTTGGGAGACTGAGGCGGAGGATCACTTGGGCCCAGGCATTTGAGACTGCAGTGAGCTATGTATGACTGCACCACTGCATTCCAGCCTGGTTGACAGAGTGATATCCTGTCTCAAAAAAAAAAAAAAAAAAAAAAAAAAAATTATACCGGGAAAACCTAACTCTGGAAGATTCCTGTGTAGTAAAGATCTCAGCTAGAACCAGTACACCAAGAAATTTATTCTTATTGAGTATTTTACTGGAGGAGAGTGGGTTCTGTGTGTATGTTGTTGGTGGAGGGGAGAGGGTCTGAGGGAAAAATAGGAATGCTGAGGAATGAGTTGACATTTGGTAGGCAGTAACATTTCAGTGCACAGATTCCACAGCCAGAGGGCCTGGGTCAGGTCCCATTTCTACCACATAGCAGCTGGTGGCGACTTCAGATAAGTTGTTTAACCTCTTGTACCCAAATTTCATTTGTAAAATGGGGATATTAGTGGTCAAATGCCTCTCAGGGGTGTTCTGAGTTAATTTATATAATCTACTTAGCACCCACATGGCACATATACGCTATGTAAGCACCAGCTACTAAGATTCTTAAGGGTTTCCCCAGCCTTCTTCAATGAATTCCTTTCTGAGTCAGATGAGCAGAAGGGCTGCAGGAAGGACTCTGTGAGACCCAGGGACGTAGGAGCACTGTGTTTATTCCTAGTAGAAAAAGTGTGACCCAGATGAAGGAAAAGAACATTGATATGGTTTGGTTGTGTCCCCACTTAAATCTTAACTGGAATTCTCTCTCCCAGAATTCCCACCTGTTGTGGGAGGGACCCAGGGAGAGGTAATTGAATCTTGGTGGCCGGTCTTTCCTGTGCTATTCTTGTGATAGTAAATAAGTCTCACGAGATCTGATGGGTTTATCGGAGTTTCCACTTTTGCTGCTTCCTCATTTGCTCTTGTTGCTACCATGTAAGAAGTGCCTTTCACCTCCTGCCATGATTCTGAGACCTCCCGAGCCATGTGGAACTGTAAGTCCAATTAAACCCCTTTTTCTTCCCGCTATGTGTTTATAAAAAATCAGGTTTGTGCAGCATGAAAACGGACTAATATAAACGTTCTGCCTGTTACCCTGGGGAGTATGACACAACTTTGGTGCAGTGGGGACCCCAGCTGGGCTTTAGAACCTCCAGGGTTTCTCTCTTTGGGAACATCAGGAGACTGTGCAGATTTCGTGGAGAGACAGAGAGACCAGCACCCATACTGTCAGTGAGGCAACTAGTGTCCATGAGAATAAGTGAAATGGAAGAATTGAGAGGCCTGTTTTGTGCACAGAGGAGCCATCCCCTAGGACTCTCAGAAATACTTAAGGGAGATTCTTCATGGCATCAAAGCCCTGTACTGTAAGAGCAATAATAAGAATGTGTTTAATCTTAGTTATAAGCTGATGGAACCTATCGATATGCAAAAGCTAGCAAGGCTAGTCATACAAATACAAGAGAGCTCATTACATTTGTTGACGCTGGGGAAGTCTCCTTGGGCCTCTTGCTTGAACTGCTTTTCCTTCTTTCTTTCTTTTTTTTTTTTTTGAGGAGTTTTGCACTTGTTACCCACGCTGGAGTGCA